TATCTCCTACATACTCACTAGGGTTGCTTTCGTAGGTGGACGTGATCCAAGTAGGCAACAATGCGAACCCGAATCACGACTTGTTATTTTTGTAATTATGCGGTTGGTGTGCGCCAGGCTGTAAAATGTGTACTTCTAGTGGCCAGCGCACGCGTTGCCTTATTGGGCTACGACCGCTAATTTTGTCTTTATTTTTCTGTCAAAAGTGAACTCCCCTATGCTGGACATGCACTTCTTGTCCCAATTACGAACGCTAGCAACCGTTGGACTCAGTTTTTTTTGCTGACGTTTCGTTAATTGGTCTCTATTGTAGTCGATTGGTCGGCCATCGCAAGTGATGACGTACACCACTGCTCTATGAAGTGCGCTCCGTGAATGGCACGCAAAGGTATCTGTTGTTCGCAGACTTTCAGAGCATCTACCTCACCCACGCATCTGTCGTGTTCCGAAAAATTATAAAGTGTAGATGACTTGGGACTAGCGTGGGTACGGTGGGTAACATTTCTAAACGGCCTGTTTGCATTTGCCAACCACTAACCGCTGTCTACCTCCACATGTACTAGGCTTCGTCCTGGTCTCACACATTGAGAAATAGCCATTGCAGTTTGACCTTCGTTTGAGAAGGTGGTCGAGTTGTCCCGTCACCTTCCACTCCACGACGTGCAACAGATTCAGGCAGTTTCAAGCTTGTCAGGTTTATTCTAGTGAGGAGTGCTGAATTTTTGCCAGGACGGAGGCCCCTATTGTGCTCCCATTTATATTCTATATTGCGGCGGCTATTTTAGGTTGACGCTTCTGCTGCTGGCTGCTAATTTAAGCTTGTTCAGGTTTGGAACAATCTTTCATTTCCTCCAACCGAGGACTTTTTATAAGGACATCGTTGTTGCATTCTGTCTTTCGGCTCCTTTGAATATGCTGTTTCTTCTGTTGACTCCGTAGTTTAGGCTAAAATTCCAACCTAAAGTCGCTTTACGGTCGTACTAACTGCTGTCGAATGTCGTCCATTGGGATGATCTATCCATCTTCGGGACAGATCGCTCCGCTGTCGAGAGCGGGAAAAAGACCGCGCGTGCACACACACTTATTTCGGTAGGAATAGGTCGTAGGGCCTCCTAATAGTGATCTGGGTTGCCCTAATAATGCTCTTGGTCTATCGGCTTGCCTTGTTAATCAATAGGAGTTGTTCTTATAGTTCTCTTGGTCTTTTTTTCGCAAGCTTGTCACTTACTTTTTTAGTTCAGTAAAACTATAACACGCGGCTTTAACTTATTTTCTACTGTGCACTTATCACGCATTAAATGCTCATTAATCAAGTATTAAACCTTTAACCAGAAAATCTGTCAGACTTTCTCTATTGGGCAGCCCTACGATTTATTCCCACCTTTACTTCTAATCCACGTTTGCCGAACCCTAATTATTTGCAAGCCTTTGCAACAAACCTCCACTACGGTGTCAGACCAACTACGGCGCGCAAACGCCATTTATGCTCCTGTCTGTTTTTGGTTTCGCTTTTCATTGCCTTTATTGTACCTACGTCTGTCCAGCAGTTCGACCGTCGTATCTGACGAGGTCCACCGTGTACTTTACTACATATTGCAGCTGACTTGCGCTTGAATTAGTTTAAAATTAGATTACACTTGTATTTGATAATAGACTTTCACTGCATCTACCGCACCCTCTCCCTCCCCTCTACTTGTGCTAAGAAGACTGTAGTCGAGACCGGGCGTGGTGCAAGTCTGCACCTACGTGTGCCAACACATCCTCCCCCATATGCG